AAAAAAACAACCAACCAAACCCCCCCAAAAAAGTCAAAATTTGTTGACGAGCGTTAAAAAAGCCGAAGAGCGACATATTACTCAGACGGTGAAGAGACGCGCCTTCTCACTGGCGATTGTCCGTTTCTTTGTCATCTCATTTATCTCTTCTTAAATGAAGGGTGAGTATAATTTTTTTTAGCCTGTCAGCAACAGCCTATAGGAGAGCCACACTTCATTTGGGGTTATTCAGATGCACTTGAAAAGTTAAATTGTTTCTTTTTACTTTGCCTTGAGATTGTTTTCATTTTTATTTCTAGGTTTAATTCATGGTGGAAAAAAAGTTTTGAAATGATTATCTTACTTTATATACTGACATTTGAACTGGGGTGTGTAGAAATTTGATATCCACTTTATATTGCTTGTACAGTTAGGTTTTCTGCTCGAATGTGGAAATTTATTTATTTTTTATCAGATGCCATCATGATTTTCGGTTTCTTCGGCAGGCGTCTACTTTGACTCGTGCGTGCGCCACATCAAGTTTGTGGACTTCTGTGGCAAGTACCGGCTGCCACTCATGCACTACCTGTGCTCGCCCGAGTGCACCACATCGCCCTGCAGCTCCAACCCGCAGAGCGACGCCGAGTCTGAGGACGAGAACAGCGTGCCTGCTGACCGCCTCCAGAAGGTTCTGCTGGGCTAGGACATTCGCATCTCTCCACGTTGCGCCGCCCAACATGTACGCCATTCCGCACAATTGTACACATTGAGTTTGAATATATAATGAGTTGTTTCAAACAGTTCCCTGGTGTCTTGGGTCAGTGTCACAACTTTGACAAAATACCCGAAGGATCAAGAACGACTGCACAGCATACAGGGGCGCATTTGATAATACACATAATACATAGACTTTGGAATCAGAACTGCAAAAAATGTGCTTGTAAAACCGGCGAAGGCGCGGGGAAAACGTGTTGCTGTTGTAAAAATTGAAACTTGTTGTGCAATGTCACTCCGCTGCGTCCAGACTGCAAATGAATGGCACTTGCTCAAAGCCACCACCCACTACAGTAATTTAGCCCTACTGTCACTTGAAAGTGGCTCAGGTTCTTCACCCACCACAGTTGATCATATCATTGGCAGATACATTTTGTGAGGTGTTTATTGAAGTTGGCCCCATTGTTGGGTAACATTTTCTGAATCAGTGGATAAATACCTTCATGTTATAGAATACGAGCACTTCAAAAGTCCATTTCCCGTAATAGGTCCCCTTTAAAATCCATTGATTGTTCCCAGTAGGTAATAATTTAGATTTTATTTCACCCCCACCAAACACAAAAATGAGGCACTCCTTTTATTTGACTTTCCCAAAATCAATCGAAGAGACTCCAAGGCTCACTACAGGAGTTCCCTCATGCATAAAAAACAAAGCATAAACATTTTTGTTTTTGTTCAGGGATGCTTACATACATGACAATACTAATAGCTTCTTCCTAATGTCTTTTCAATACCGTGTCGTTTGTGTGTGTCCAGCGATGTATATAAGCACCCTGAAATGTGACGACATTACTGGAATTTTTTTTCTAGTCTGATTTTTTTATTACAAAAAAGTTTAACCGAATAACTGCTTTTCTATCAATCACTTTACAAAAATAAAAAATAATGAACTACTTATTAAATTAACCTGCAGCGTACTTTGCTCTTAACCAGAATGTTTCCTATCGATAGGAATATGATAATAATCAATGGTAATAATAAAAGACACGTGCGGTACAGTGTGTCAGACAATTTATTCAAGTTTAAACCATTGTCGATGTTTTATTCTGATTTTTAAAAATTCATCAATGTGGGCATTTTTTTTCTGCGTGTGTGTGCAAAGACGATTTTGGTGCCTAATTGTGCCGATTTCTTAAAATCACAGCTATAAGGGCCGCAGACGTCGTATAAATGCCCCGCACATGACAAGTGTTGAATGTACAGTGCGAATGCTCAACTGAGCCTTTACACATGACAGCCTGCATGAATCCAGACTGGCCTAACGGAGAACAATCAAGACTTGGCAAAGTTACCGTTATAATCCTGTGATTATGTATGCGGACCAACCTTATACAGGAAACCTATACCAAGCGTTTTCAAAGTGACTGCTCTTCGTTTGTTCTTCACAAAGTACAAATGGTTGATGAGTGTCCTACAAATCAATCTCGAGGACACCCTAATAAAAATTCAATCATGCGGGGGAGCAAAAATTTTTAATGTTACAATAAAGTTGCATTATGTCAAATTTGAAAGGATTTTTTTTTTTCAAGAAAATGTCTTCAAACAGTCTCATTTCAAAATAAGTGTAATGTCTAGTTGAGGAAAATATTAACTATTTATTTCTGAGAAAAAGTATTTTTTTTTCCTGATAGGAATGAAGTCCTACAGCTTGTCAATCCTAATGCCCACTTTTTTTTTTCTCTTCACTGTTCACCATCATTTGCTTGAGTGATTGCAACTTCAGTGTATTATTTCAGCATTTTTCTTGGCTGACATAGATTTTGTAACATTTGCTCCATCGTTTTGGCACTTTTCCAAATGGTACAAACTTACGTAAAAACAAACAAAAAAAAAAAATCTGAAATGTTTGTTTTATTTCCAGACAGTACCCATTAATGAACACCAGTAGTCAATGCAAACGTACGTTTTCTGTAGTTAGTGCACATGCTAATTTACACCTGTAGTTCCTTTACGATGTACCTTTACTATACTTGAGTGTGACTTTTCCCTTGTCACTATGACCTTTTTTTCCACTGATTGTCTGTCGCTGCCTCTATAGTAAGATCTCCAATTTGCACCGTAGTTACCAAAAGTGGCTCCTTGCTCTTTAAAGGGATTTTCCAACCCGAATTGGCGTTCAACTCCCAACTCTCATGTATCACAATACAGCTCAGTGACAGGAAACTGAGGTGCCGCCTGCCAGCAACAAGCGAAGCTGGAAAATTGTTATGGTATAAATGTTTCCAGTTCACACGCATCACATGGACACTTCCGAGGGCACACCTGCACATCTGGCCCGAATTCTGTCTTCATTATGACGATAATGCTCACCCAAAATTGACTCGGAACAAAACCTTGGAAAGCAAGTGATTTGTTCCGAGTGAATTTGCATTTGCAACAAAACCGTCTCAAGAAACCCCTATTTGAAAAATCTGCCAATTTAGTTTGGAGAATCAGGGGTCCTTTAAAAAGGAACTCCTTGAGAATTGAACACATTTCCTGGGTTGGTCAACTTGAAATGAGTGATAATCTTCCATGTGACGTTTCTTTCCGTAGTACTTTTGTTAGCATCTCGCAAAGATGCTTGATTGATTTCTTCTGATATGTATTTTTCTCTTTTGGGGGATGGAAGCTCCAAAATTAACTGACATTAGATAAAAAGAGTCGATTGTAAGCAATGCTTCAGTAAGGCATCACATCATAGCATTGCTGAAAGAACTCTAATGGTGACTTTTGCACAGGACCATGTCAACAACTCACCTTGACGAACTGACTCCTGCTCTGTATGTTGATGAAATATTCAGGCCGTTCGTAATCTGACCGTTGTCATCGCCAGCAGGCCTCGAGCAGCAGCGACATTGTATCTGTGAAACAAATCCATCTTAAACCTGATCCTGAGGGACACATGATAGCGGCCGACACACGCCGCATGTAACAGAAACGCTTTTGTTCTTCAACGGGACACGAGCGCGCTGTCATCAGATCTCAAAGCGCTTTCAACGCCTTGACGCTTGCTCTTACTTGTGTTGTGTAATCACATTCCACTAGCTTCTGCTTTTTCATGTCAATGTTGACTACAACTGCACCATCCAAATTGTGAAAAATGACATAAAATGCCTCAATTCCTTAATGTCCAAAAGTCTTTTATCCGGATTCTCACCAAAAATCCGACAAATCATTTCTAATTTTTCAAATAAATTTCAGAGCCTGTAAGAATTTTGTTTGCAGATGCTTATTTGCAAACAAAGCATGGTCTAAAACAACAGCAGGTGAGTTGCCACTGTCCAATGGACAGCATGGGTGTCCATTAATACAAAAAAGAAAAATTAAATAAAACATGGAAGAAAATACTTGCTAGAATCACCCCAAAAAAATTAGCTGATAGCTGCTTAGCCTCTTGGAAATATATTCATCGAACTGGACCATTACTCAGATGGAAACGTGCATCCATGCTTTTCTTTGTACAGTGAGTATGATATAAAAATAACCACTTTTAATTGAAATTGTCAGACGTATTCGTTTTAATGTGCTTACTGTTTGCAGTGCATCATCATACAGTTCCGAATATTTCGAATAACTTAAGAGAAACATGACATGTACCTCTCTGGCTGTGGTAATGCGAGTGTATTTTGAACATTATTGTGTGTATACAGTATTATAATCATATCTTGGTGTGTCTCTTAAAGCTGTGAGCAGTGTTGACACGCCCTCGTCAGGAATGACGCTGTCTATGTATGTCTGTGTGTGTGTGTGTGTGTGTGTGTGTGTGTGTGTGTGCGTGTGCGTGTGTATACTGTATGTGTGTGCTCTTGTCTTTCTGTCTTAGTGTGGCCCCCACCCTTGACATCCCACCTTTATTGTGTGGCCATTACTACAGCAACTTGTTTGGATGAGATGCTTCCACCTTCATCAGTTGTTTGTCAAGCTTGGCATTGCAAATGTTGGTGAAGTTTTCAGACCACCTTGATGCATCCAAATATTGTCACAGAAGCCTTTGCAGACACATGATCTGTCTGTCTGTGTGTGTGTGTGTGTGTGTGTGTGTGTGTGTGTGTGTGTGTGTGTGTGTGTACGTGTATCTCTTTCCATTCAAACAAGCGTATTTATTTGCATGGTAGACTCTCCGACATGTGCCACCCTGTCCCCGAGGACCCTGTCACAACCTGAGTGGGCCACCACAGCCTAAACCTCGTTGGCTGTAGACGTGTGGGAGAGAGAGAAAGAGAGAGAGCCTCACACACACACACACACACACACACACACACACACACACACACACACACACACACACACACACCCTTCCTGTGACACGCACACACACACCTCCCTCCTCACTAACTCTCAGTGTGCCGAGCTGCTCCTGACAGGAGGTGGTGTGGAAAGTTTGACGCATGCTTGGAAATGGGATTCTGATCAAGCGTGAGGATCCAACGCAAAGCCATGCTTACTGTCGCTTCTTCATCCAAGCATACCGGAGTCATGTGCCATGGAAACCGCAACGGGACCAGTTGGGATCACCCTAAGGTTGGCTTGATTCATTTATACTCCTTTGAGTCTGTTCTGGCTCTTTTGTCAGGTAGGCAAATTGGTGAGTTCATAACTTCCTCTTGTGTTGAACGCATGACAAATATTCACGTAGATGTAATCAGTCTTAATTGCCAAAAAACGAAAAAAAAAAACCTGGAAAAATGATGACAAAATTAAATACAAGGAAACGATATTTGCCATTTCTTTTTTTTGTTTCAGTTCCATAGATATTGTTCTGCTCCTTTTGATGTGTGCCCCTTGGCCACCAGGGGGCAGAACAATACAGACATCGAGAACCACACAAAAAAGAGTTTCACAACTGACTCAGTAAATCGGAGTAATAGTAATCTTTTTTTTTTTTTTTTTACACCGGCTAAAGAATGTATGCCTGTCAGTATTGTTATATTGTCTGTCTACACATGTTGCGCCACCATTTGTGAAGCGCTAGTTCAACATGACTAACTAATAACTAATGTTTTATGAATATTACTCAAGATCCCACTTCCTATGAGCATGAAAACGCAACGGTCTTCACAACACGACAATGTAACAAAGAACAACAAAGGCACTACTTCTCGCCATGAAGAGATATTATCTGAATGGAGACTAAGGGCAACGATTAACCGGCATTGCAGCCAAGTGGAGATTGTGGACGATCACACTGCATCTTTATTTTGGTCATTTACTGCTCCTCGTCTTAATTAACCACGAGTGACCCGCAGTGAAAACCATCTGCTATATGCTATCAATAAAGAGCACTTGGGACTCCTGCCGACCAGGCACCAGAAGTAGTACCTCATAGTATCTCATAGAGTAGGTAAATGAAGGTATGTGTCCCACCGAGCCGACTCATCTAGCCAGGTTATATTCTTGACCCTCTCTCCAACAGGGCGCCATTGCTGCAAAATGTACCACCATGCGCCCAGAGATTATCCCCAATAAATTGCATTCTCACTCAGCTTAGAAAATAAACTCATAAAGGGAGCATTGGACGAGGTGGAATGCCTCAATATTGGCCTCTCAACTCGGATTTACATGAGGCCAGCAGCCGCAGTTAATCTTAATCCTGAAAGTGGGATAATTGCAATACAGTGCAACGGTGTTGGATTTTATCGCTTCGATTAAAAAGTCAGACAGGAGAGAAGATCAGTCTCAAGAGGGCTACATTCTTTACATTGCGATAATCGATCCGAGAAAGGCCTGATTGTTGGAGGTCTCTGAAAGATCATCTTAAGTGATTATCTCGCGGTGTAGGATTTGTTAAGAGTGACTTTTCCTCCATAATCTACTCGTAAAATCAGCTCTGACGATCATAAATGTTAGAACGATTCAATATTTACGATGGGAAATCTTTATTTGTGTGGCCAACATTAAGTTGGGCCGAGTCACGGACTTTGTGATTGTGCCGTGAACTTGACGGGTAACAAATTTGTAAAGAGCTCCACGATTGTCAGTGGGGATATCGTTATCGTGTGTGTGCCTTGCTGTACGTGGTTATTTGGTTAGGACACGACACAATATTAGAGCAGCAAATGACTTTTGGTTAAAGTGGCCTACACACATACTACGACGACTATTACCTTTTTTTTCAAACGTGAAACCACAGGCGTAATGATTCATGTTTACCATTTCCGATTGAAAAATGGCGCTTTGCACATCGCGCACCGCGGGGATAATCTTTCAAAGACACCCCGTTACTCGGGGCTTACTTGCTGTTTAGCATTCAGGGGTTTCAAACAATGTTGTCACAATGAAGATAAATTTTAAAATCCCCTCGTTGACAAATGTCAGGCCATCTTTGCTGACCTTTCCATTGCCACAAAGTGGGGTTCTTGAAAAACGGGGAGGAAATGCCTCTTTTGAGCAGGGGGCTTTCCTGCAGGAAGTAGCGGGGAGTGCAAGCTAAACTCGGAAAAGTGACGAAAAGGACAAGAACAGGAACTGCAGACATTTCCCAGATATGCTGCTGCATTGTTCTCTCAACACCATTAATTTGGTGGAAGTAGGTCAATGTGGGCGATGCGTCAATTTGTAGTTGTTTCTTTAGGGAAAGATGATTCTGCTGCTTTGATTCAAAAGCAGCCTATGACACATAAAATGCACCAAAACCTCGAGCGATGTTGTTTTAATGGCCCCTTATTCACAGTAGTCATTTTGACATAGTAAAACAGTACACAATCGAGCATTCAGTAAACTTTGTTGATAAATAAGCTTTTATTGGCCCTGCTAATACTGCAAAGCGAAAAGTGAGGACATTTTTTAAGTGTCTTTCTTTGGACCATAGCACATGTTCCACACGTGGTTGACAGATTTTGTTATGGTCCAACGTAACCCAAGTTGGAACATTTTGGCCATAATTCTCAAAGGTATATTTGGCAATCACAAAACCTTCAGGCTTCTCTTGGAAAACACGAAAAAAAATGAAAAGCCTATTAGGACAGCTCGATTTCACTTGGGGTGAATCACAGGCACTTGAAATGGCGGCTTGGCGTGTGCTGACTCCCGATTAACCTGAGTGTGAATTTGATTGGTTCATTCTGAACACAGCCGCATCTCCAGTTTTAAAATGGTGCGCATATTTATGCAATCCCATCTTTTTCAGTTGTTTATTTTGACTTCCCCTCTTAAAAAACATTTGTTTTGAATTTAATTGTACAGAATTTCACAACTGACTCAGTAAACTGCAGTGATCGTAATATATTTTTTGCACCGGGTAAAGAATGTATGCCTGTCAGTATTGTTGTTATATTGTCTGTCTACACATGTTGCGCCACCATTTGTGAAGCGCTGGTTCAATACGACTAACTAATAACTAATGTTTTATGACTATTACTCCAGATCCCGCTTCCTATAGCACGTTTGAACTGTGCCATACGTAGTCAGTTTTGACTTCCGTCATTTGGGTTCAGAGCATTAAAACGCAACACTCTTCACAACACGATAAACTCCCTTTACCATTGTACATTGTAATGGGAAAGGTTTTGAACAGATTTGAACAGAGGTGTGCAGACTTTTTATGTCCACTTTATTTACATGATCAGTCGGTGTGACTAAAAAATGCACTGGAAGAACGTGCGTACCTGCACTTAATGGCAAAAACTCTCCGTAATTTCCACTAACGCCCCAGGCTAAACTTAGCTCTTCACAACACCCAACCATTTTCGGAACCGCTTATGTAAAGATGTTACTCAATCCAGATGCAATTACTACTGTCGAGTGCTTCGGTGCCGTTTTGCAGGAGCTTCGAGTGCTCCGTGATGGCTCAGACTTGATAAACTTTAGACAATGAGCAAGACAGGATGCCTGCTGCATCATGTTGCTCAGGTAAACGCCGGTCTGAGCCACATGTGGCTGAGTCACAGTCGGTCGGTTTGTGAGTTTCAGCCACGCGAGCGCAAGTACATGTCGGTGCAGAGAGGGCAGGCGGGTGAAAGTGCCTGCGGGCACTTTGCTCAGTCCATGTCTATGTTTGTCACTCCTACATTTTCTGTTTGTCAGAGGCGCAAATTACAGCTTTGGTGTTGTACGCGCTCAACTCGCGATAAAAATAAAAGAGATACATTTACTAGTGTCGTCTAGCAGCAATAACAGTACACAAAATTTTCGATCCTATATCCAAGCAAGTATTATGTACAATCACAGGTTGGAGCTGTAATAACAAGAGACAATTGTGCTTTACCCGTGTGCGTGGTTTCATGGAATGAATGACATCACTTCAGGAAATAATAAATTGTAATAACCAGCCTCAACTCTCGGTGCATTTGCTCAATATCATGAGATCCAATGCAATGTTGTATCAAAAATCAACACAAAATGTAACAAATAATAATTATTCATTTTAAAAATTAAAGAAATAGGAAAATAGAAAGAGTAAAAAAAAAAAAAGGAAAACTATCAGGTATGAAACTACTATTGGTACAGAACTGTACAACAAATAGGGCATTGAATTAACATTGCTGTACATTCAGGTACTAAATTAGTACTCGAAAAGTCAAGTTCATGACTGGTGAGGCGTTGCTCCTCTGTAAAAACCCAAAACAGAAGATTAGGCATTTCAATGTTGACCTTAATTGAAAAGTTTGTTTTCAAAAGCTTTGAATCATGCTTAAAATAATTCCACACTGTTCAACAAATGTGATAGCAAGAAAAACAAAATAACTAATTTTTTTTTTTTCTGATTCCCGCATACCCCCGGTAGAAACTGACAACCTTTCAGGTACAGCAACTAAACTATGGAATTGGTAGAAAACTGCCTTTTCTTTTCGGTACTGAAATAAGTATAACAAGAAAAGAGATAATATTTCGTGCGTAGCAGTATAGCATTAACATGAGTACAGTAGAACAAGACAAATTTTCAGGTGCAATCAGAAAATCACTAAAATTGGTATCAAACCGACTTCTTTGGAGGTACAACAAAGATACAAGGTTTTACATGCGTAGATCGTTAATTCTGTATTCTTCCGTCCAAAAAAATCTTGAATGTTATTTGAAAACTTTCTTGTTCAAAAGAGCCAGCATTAATCTGTCATTATGAGATCATCAAAAACAGCTCTTCGTGACCCAACGATAAATTGTAATATTGTAATTGAATACCTCTTTGACAGTGTCTATGACAACCTAACATAATTATATACTTTTTCATGACAGAATTTATACAGTTCTTCTTTTGGATTTTGCAATTGTCGACCTAATCAAGTGTCTTCGTGGTTCCCCGACATCTCAATGTGAAAAGTCTCTGTCACAGCACTACACTGTGGATGCTATGTGTACTGCGATTGGAAAGTAAAATCCTTTTTCTGTCTTCCAACACCCCCACCTTTTCTTGTTATATTTAACAGGATATGCACGTGAAAGTGGACTGACCTAGGCCAGTCATGGAGGCTGAGTGGAACTGCAGCTCCCGCTGTGATTCCGAGCTGTGTCTCAGCCACTCAAGGATCCACAGGCAGGAGAGCATGGAGGTGTTGCAGAGACTGTGCAGTCTCAGTCGGGTAATCATTGCTACCGACCACATTTAAACATTTATTATGCAGGGCACCCAGGAAGTACTCCCCGTGCTTCACTTGTCACCCATTTGGAAATTTTACCGAGAGTTATTCAAAAATTATTGAAAACAAGGACTTATGTTGAACTGAGCGCTTCATTGAAACGAAAGTCGTGCTTTTCCGCTATCTTGCGGAATATTGCTGCCAAAAAACTATGTGGAAATGTGTTGAGGAACTTCATTTGGACAAAGTAGTGCTTCGCTGCCATTTTGTGGCATTTTAGGCAATTCTAAACCTTTTTTAGGTGCGTGTCAATTTCTTGCAGATTCTTGCTCGTCACTACAGGTAACAAATGCTTTCCGACCTGATGGAGCTTGAAAGGTGACGCAAAGAGGAATGGGTGAAACTAACTAAGATTGTTGTGTCAACCTTGTCATTTCATTTTTTAAAAAACTGCCAAAGGCACATCAGTAAAAGAGTGGCACCTTGACTTACAAAATTTGTCAAGTTAAGTTTAAAGGTTTTTTTTTTTTTTGCTTTGTTTTGTGAGCCAACATTTGATGGACAAGCAAGTTTCTGATACCTCGCCTCTCGAGTCAGATTTAATTCTTAAATATAGAATTTTAAAAAATTTATTTTGTGGGTAGAAACTTGAGAGCACAAATTGAATTTATTCCATGAGCAAATAAGGCGAAAACATCAAAATGTGAAGCACTGTGAATATTTTTGGGATGATCATGAGGCATGTGTACTTTTTCAGCCTCAACTCTCGGTGCATTTGCTCAATATCATGAGATCCAATGCAATGTTGTATCAAAAATCAACACAAAATGTAACAAATAATAATTATTCATTTTAAAAATTAAAGAAATAGGAAAATAGAAAGAGTAAAAAAAAAAAAAGGAAAACTATCAGGTATGAAACTACTATTGGTACAGAACTGTACAACAAATAGGGCATTGAATTAATATTGCTGTACATTCAGGTACTAAATTAGTACTTAAAAAGTCAAGTTCATGACTGGTGAGGCCTTGCTCCTCTGTAAAAACCCAAAACAGAAGGTTAGGCATTTCAATGTTGACCTGAATTGAAAAGTTTGTTTTCAAAAGCTTTGGATCATGCTTAAAATAATTCCACACTGTTCAACAAATGTGATAGCAAGAAAAACAAAATAACTAATAGCAGCGGCTTCCTGTTTGCCGTCGATCCACGACCGCACCCTCAAATGGAAGCGTCGACAGCTGTACTACACGTGGGTACAGTAGCTCTCACTTCAATGGAAGGCTAATCGGAAAATTATTCAAGATATTTGATATCTATCTTAAGTTCCTCTCTTTGTCATCACTGATAAGACGAATAAGAATTCAGTGCACCGGTAGAATTATTTTGTCGCACTTGTAATGGTTTTTTTTCATACTAGTGCCATACTTAGGCCTGCTAGTGTATATATGGACCTTAAAATGGATACCAATGATATCTAATAAATGCTAAAACAGATTAGGAATCTTTTTTTGTCCTTCTTCAGTGAAGGCTGAAACAGTGGCTAGTTGCAGGGTAAATATTTATACTTTAGTTTTGTCATTTTCATCATATAATGCCTGTAGTTGTCTGTTGTCAAACTGAACATGTCCACTCTGTCAAAGTGAAATATCACTTGGTATAAAACTTGATATATTTGTTAAACAGTACACAATCAGCTTGCTAACCGAATCATGTTGCTAATTGAAGGTCCACCATGTGCTCGGTAAGCGCTAACATTAGCCACAAATGTCCACCCTGTCAGTAAGATCGCATCTTTTGCTCTTTGCACATATATTGTCTGATTGCAGTTAATTCAGAGAAAATAAAAATTGGGGAACTTGGCCCGTATATATTTCTAACATGATACCCTTTACGTAGGACAATAAATATGAAGTTGAGTGGAAAGTATTTGAATGTTGGGAGTGAAATGGGGAAGTCTCAAATGCACCTTATTGTGATATTGACTCCCAAACACTGAAACGGTTCACAATATTCAATAATTGCCATTTCATCATTGTTCTTCGATGACTACCGTATTTTCCGCACGAAAAGGCACACCTAAAGGCACACCTAAAGGCATTCCATTTTCTCAAAAGCCAACAGCGCGCCGTATAATCCGATGTTATATATGGATCAGTATTCTGATTTCTTGGACGTAGTATTTGAAATATTCTGTAAAGCATTTTGTTACAGCTGCAGCGGTTGTGAAAGTACTATATAAATGAAGCTGTATTGTATTGTATTCTTTTAATGTAGCTCCATCTAGTTGATGCACAATGCAACCGCAGTCACTATTATAACTTCTCTTCATTATATACACCTTATACTGTGGTGCGCCCTCGACATGAATACAGTTTAAAAGTAGGCCATTCATTGAAGATGCACCTTATACTCCAAAGCGCGTTATAGTGTGTAAAATACAGTCCATGTTACCCTCCACAGGCCCGGGTGTGGACCCTCTGTCTCGGCAGCACGATGGTGTTTGGACCTATTTTAGGGAAAACATGGCGCCTGTACAGAGTGTTCACCCAGAGAGTGCCCGACAAGAGAGTGGTAGGTATGACCATGGAGCTGATCTTGTTATTCGAACCTACTAGTTGTTGTTTTTTTGTTTTTTTTAACGCAGCACAGTGTACTAAGTGTGAGCATATCTACGTCACAGATCCGGGGTTACAAATATCACAATGCAATCCCTGTACTCAATAAACTTTTAGGATCTTTCAGCACCACCTAGGTCCTAGTTCACTGGTACTCCTTTTACACTCCTACATGTCAGATCATCAGAGACATTCAGCTAATGGCCATGGTGGCTCTCTTGATCCTGGTGGACCTGCTGGTCCTGTCTGCCTGGAACCTCTCAGACCCCATTCGCTGTTCTAGATCACTCGGTGCAGTCGTTAAGGTGAGTCTAACACAGTCGGATTGATGAATATCAAAATTTCTCTAAAAGCCGACGGGCTAAATTTGTTACGTTTGTGTGTGGTTTCCCCTCACCAACAGTATGTTTTGCTCCGTTCTAGATGGTGGATCAGAACATCTCCTATTCTTTGTCTCAGATTAATTCCTGCTCTTCTGCTTACTGGGATCTGTGGGTTATAATTATAGTTGTTAAAAAGGTAGGTTTTCTCCCCATTCTCGACAAATATAACCATTCGAGAGCTCATTGGATATAACGTTTAGGTTTTCTTTTCTTCCCATAAGTGCAATGGTGCAGTGTTATGGAAGGGCCACGCAGAAACTACAATAAAATAATGCTACTGTATTAAAATAAAGTTGGAGTATTATGGGAATAAATTTGTCATTTTATGAGAGTAAAGTTGGAAAAAAATTGTAGTTTTAAAGGGACAAATAATATTGTTGAATGAATGAAGTCTAATAGTCACAAGACTAAAATCATAACATTATGAGAAAATATTTTAACCCAAATAAAGTTACGGGAAGCAGTTGTAACCATTTCAAAAGTTGTTAATTTATGGGGTGAAGTCATAATTTCACGAG